TCAGCCTCTCTTCAGGACGTAACAAAGGGAGGACATGGGACTCTTTCCTTGTGAGGTCCTGCTGGGCTGCAGGCTGCCCTCCAGGAGGGCTAACCTCTGCCTTGGCATCTGTGTTATGCAGGAGCCCCACGGAGAAGACCCCTGGGTGCTGAGGCCATGGACATGCTGCTGGGTGGCTGTAGGTGGGCAGCTTCCATGAGCCCTTGGTGTCTCTGGTGGGAGGGCACAGCTGAGATTCTCCTCAGGTACAATGGGCTGAGGGGTCTGGAGATCTGCACTTGGAACCTGGATTCCTCTGCTCCCAGCAGTGTCCTGTTTCTTTTGGGGGGAAGCCCAGAGTGCAATAGTCCTGGAGCTGAAAGACCTGCCAGCCCAGGGCAGCTGAGCCCAGGGCTGATGGACAGAGCAGCTGTCCTCCCTCTGCACTCCGGGACAGTCCCTTTGTCCCTCAGGACCCACAAGATTTCCCTGGCAGTGCAGCAGAAGTGCCAGGGATTTCTGCATGAAACCCACTCCTCATCTGTGGTGGGGCAACTGGAAGAGAAGACACAAAACAAAATCCCCTCATCTCTGCTCTGCAGTCAGGTGAGTTGAGAGTGACAGTGCTGAAAACCTCCTTGATATCGTGAGTGGATTTAAGCTGAGATCACCCCATGTTCCTCTTTACCTATTGCTGTAGGGCAGCACAGACTCCTACAGAGCCCACATCAGAGCTTCCTGCTCCCTGGGACACCCTCAGCCAGCACCAACCAGAGTTCACTAAAGGTTTTCCTGAAAAGGGAAAGGTGGTTTGGGTGATTTTTATGAGAAATGGCATTGATACTTCTCAAAGAATTCTGTTGTAATTTCTTACTCCTTTTACCTCCTTGCACAGATCCCCATGGCCAGAGTGACAAAATGTCCAACAGCAGCTCCATCACCCAGTTCTTCCTCATGGCCTTTGCAGACACACGGGAGCTGCAGCTCTTGCACTTCTGCTCTCAGACTCCAGGGCAATTTCCTTATCAGGATGTGCTGCCCAAGTCTTTCGGTTTGTCTTTTTGATGTCAGCAGAATTTTATCTTCTCACTGTCATGGCCTATGACCGCTACGTTGCCATCTGCAAACCCCTGCACTATGGGACCCTGCTGGGCAGCAGAACTTGTGTCCACATGGCAGCAGCTGCCTGGAGCAGTGGGTTCCTCTGTTCTCTCTTCCACACTGCCAATACATTTTCCATACCTCTCTGCCACGGTAATGCCCTGAACCAGTTCTTCTGTGAAATCTCCCAGATCCTCAAACTCTCCTGCTCACATGCCTACCTCAGGGAGGTTGGGCTTATTATATTTAGTATTTTTGTGGCTTTGGGTTGTTTTCTTTTCATCATGCTCTCTTACGTGCAGATTTTCAGGGCTGTGCTGTGGATCCCCTCTGAGCAGGGACGGCACAAAGCCTTTTCCACGTGCCTCCCTCACCTGGCCGTTGTCTCTCTGTTTGTTGGCACTGCCATGTTTGCCTATCTGAAGCCCCCCTCCATCTCCTCCAAGTCCCTGAATCTGGTGGTAGCAGTTCTGTACTCAGTGGTGCCTCCAGCTGTGAATCCCCTAATTTACAGCATGAGGAACCAGGAGCTCAAGGAAACCCTATGGAAACTGGCTCAGTGGGTGCTGTTTCACCAACAATAATCTCCCTCACCTTCTCTGCATATTCCACAGAGTTTATCTCAGGCCACAAGCCTGGTTTTCTATCTTGTGATAATGCTGTCTTGAAATAATTTTCTGGGTTTATACTCCCTCTGTTGAGGTTTGATTTTGTTGTGTCTGAGACTTGCACAACACTCTGTCACTTGTGGCCTCTCAGATAGCAGCTATTAAAAATAAAAGGTCAACTCCTGGGTGGAGTGCCTCTTCCAAAATTTTCTTCCAAGAAAATCTTCAAAGGATTCACCTTTTCATGTTTGTGTTCTCCTTTTGTGCTCACTGTTTTGGTAGTTCAGCTCATGGTAACATTGGGTTCTATTGGACTGGGTGTTCTTTATTTAAAGGCTCTGTTTATGCTGTCCTAAGGCAGTGGAAATAGTCCAATAGCTCTCTGTTATCTCCTCAGGTTGCCTCATGTATGACGGGACTGATGGCATATCCCAGCCTTTCTGGAAAGTAGTTTAGAGGGGTGAGGAGAGGATGGGGACTCACCATGTGCCCTGGGGTTGGAATGTATGGAGACTGCTCCACCCTCAAATGTGAAGTACCTCCAGAAGGAGAGCACTAAATATATGAATTCAGGAGATGCAGGGAGTGAGTAGCCTCTGTTTGCTTATGCCCTTTGGGCCAGCACCAGCCCTGGGGCTGATGGGGACCCTGAACCTTCCTCTCTGGCCCCAGCAGCTGCTGTGCCCTTCAGAGGGTCTGGGGCTGTGGGGTGAGTGCCCAGAGCTCTGCAGCAACTGTGATGGGTAGTGACTTGGGGCCAGCTGTGTCTTGGGGCTGCTCTGCTGGGCTGGGCTGGGGAGAGGGCAGGTGAGGAGGGGAGAGCTGGGGAGGGGCTGGGATGGAAAGATCCCAGGAGAGAAAAACACCAGTGCAGAGCTAAGCTGTGTGAGTGTGCAGGGTAAGAGCAGCTGGGTGACACAGTTGTTGCAGCCGGCTTTCTTTACCTGCCTGCGG